CGTTTTGCCTCACGCTGCCAGGGCCGTCATATACCTTGCCGAGGGTATAAAACTTGACTACTAAGTGGATCCACTAAGCTATGCTAAAAATCCACTAAGGAATCATCTAAAAAGTATGACCCTTTTCTACCCATGGTGGCTACATGGTTTATGGGGGCTGAGAGTTCTCTGAACTCTCCCCCATATCGGTGCTTAATACTACTCCCAAAATATACTAGCTCCATATGTTTAAAAACATAACTCTATGATTTGAGATAATTTCTCTAAACATAGCTCAAAGGCTCCTCTTGGAAATCAAAGTTTCCTCTCTTTCCTAATTGTGGAAGCATTTATTCTTTTCTGCAAACTAGCTCAAAGGCTCTTTGGAAATCTCAGTTTCCTTTCTTATTTAAATGTGAAAACATTTTAAAATTTTTGGGAATACATAGTCCCTATATATTCTTTGAAGAAATGAACTTCAATCTTTACTCTTTACTCAACTCAAAACTTGAGTCTTAAAACAAAGTGAAAACGTTTGTAAAAGACCTTTGGAAAACTCTATGAACTTTCCTTGACTTGACTCTTAACTTCTCTTGACTAGACTCTTAACTTTCCTTGAATTGAATTATGGATTCAAGGCTCATGATCTCATGTTATTGATGATTTTATGTTGTTTAGACGTACCTTAGAGTGTAGGAATCAACTAGGAAACATACGTATGTTTCAAGGGAACTACTACGGAAAGATGTGGGAAGAAGTAGAAGATTTGGTGTTCCTGGCACTCTGAGTGGCACAGGGCGCCAAAGGCTGAACTTCAGAACTGAAGTTGGGGTGCTAGCGCAGTGCAGTGCCCCAAGCCCAAAATTTCAGAAACACTTCTGGGGGCACTCTGGCTGGCGCGGCCCCCCAGGTCCCTTCCCAGAAATCCCCGATTTTCCTTTGTCATTTTTCAACTCTAAACTCAATTGGGTCTTTCCCCAAACACTTAGATTCGACTACATAATCAAAATATGCAAGAATCTACTAAAAAACACACCAAATTTCATGAATCAAAATTAAGAACTCCTCAACACCTCAAAAAATCAAGAACCCAATAGAAACTTCAAACAAATCCATCAATAACTCAATTTCTAAACCTTCAAGAATCTAAATTCACTGAAATAAATCATGATTGGCGCGTGTGTGAACTAACCCAATGCTATGTGATCTCACATACCTCGTAGGGATCACCTCTTGACAAAATCCACAAGCAATTCTTCGAGAACTTGACGATTTCCTTGCTTCTCTTTCTATTTTCTCTTCCTCTTTTCTGTTTTCTCAAAACCCTAACTTTTTTTTCATTAGTGTAAACTGATCCCAATTAGTTTAGACCCCAACTTAATTACCAAACACGAAATTAATTAATTGGGTGGTGAAAATACCATAATTCTTTTCTAAAATCCGATTTTGACTTTCCTTATCTAGACATCCCAACTTCAAATTGGGATATCTCACTCATACCAACTCGAAACTGAGCAAACTCGGCAGCATTGGAAAGATAATTCAAAGATATTTACTAAAGTATCTTCTAGTACACTTAAATCATCCTGATATAGGATTTACCGTCGTTTTAAGTTCACCCAAAACTCATACTTAGCTTAATTTTGTCAAACTTAGATTTTGCTATTTCCAATTTACAAAAACGGTTTCTTTCTAATTTCAAGTCTTTCTAGTAGCGGGGTGTTACAATATCCCCCCTTGGGAACATTCGTCCTCGAATGAGATTACTATTAGTAGGCTAAGGGTGTAACATCTAACAATCAGCTCAAACACCCAATTATAATCATGTTGCATGTGAGACCTTGGTAAACCTGTGATGAAATCCATATTGATCATCTCCCACTTCCATTCTGGAAGTTCTATCTTCTGCGCCATACCACCGGGCCTCTGGTTCTCTACTTTAACTTGTTGACAATTTGGACACTTACCAAC